GTGTTTTTTTGGCAAGTCTATAGGAGACAATCTCTCTACCTCGTAGGGAGGGGTAAGGTCTTTTTGGGTGGTCTATCGGAGACACCCTCTCTACCTCGTAGGGAGGGGTAAGGTCTTTTTGGGTGGTCTATCGGAGACACCCTCTCTACCTCGTAGGGAGGGATAAGGTCTTCGTACACGGTGGGTATGATATTGTTGTGTTCTCCAAATCATATTTTTGTTTCCCTTAAACAAGAGCTAGACTTTGTTTGTAGTGAAATAAGCCTAATAAAGTTATTAAGCACATTTTGAATATACAAAATATTAGGAATTAATGAAAGTAACAGTAAAATAGACTTGCAATAACTAGAAATGTTTCTAGAATTATTTTTCTTTGGTAAATTTATGTTAGATGTTAAAACTATTTCATTTTCTTAATATTATTTTTGATAGAGTTAGCATGAAATTACATTTTTATCTTTGATAATCATTCACGAAGAAAAAACGATTCTAAGATTATTTATCTTTTTATTAATTTTTTAAATAAATTTTTATTAAAATAAAATTATATTTTTATTCTTAATCATACGTCTCTAGAAATTTGTGACGACCAACCACTAAAATACGGACTGAAACTGCAGAGTTGGTAGATAAAGACTGCTGTCTGCTGATGCGAGATCTTAACTATATAATAAATTAGTGACAATTAATCATTAAATACTGACTAATACTATTTTAATTTTATAAAATCCAAAAAGTTCTATCGATAATTATAAAGAAATAGACCAATTAATTAAGAACACCAAGTTTGAATTTGGTTTATGTAGCCAAATTGGAAACTCCGACCACCTAGGTATGGCAAAATTCTAAGAATTCTGTTTTTATTTATAATTCATTATTTTAAATTTTACGTTCTTTAAAAAATTACTTAAATTTATCGTATAATTTTATTTTATATTCTTTTAAAAGTAAGTTTTCAATAAATTAATTAATAAAATTATCATTTGAATATGAATTAGTCATTTAGTTTTTATATATCAGATCAAATTCACACTTTTAAGGATAATAACTCTTAAGAATAAAATAGGAAGAATAATGAAGTATTTATGTATTGATTTTATAAAATGACAAGTATTAACGAATATCTATTTTTTATATGAACGGCGAATAAATAAAAATGGAGAGAAAATTAAGAAACATGTAGTAAGGACGATATATAAATATAAATAAAAACATCTATTTTTAATAAAGATAATATTTAATTAGGAACATGAAATACTACTTTTTCATATTTTAAATTTTTTCGTAAAAGTTTTAGCTCCATCACAATGTGGTATATTTAGATCCCAAAAATATGAATCACATAAGCGCTTACGTTTGTTTATTTTCCTTCTATATATATATTATATATTATACACTCTCACTAATATTACTACATTTCTAAGTTTTCTTTTTCCAACTTTATCCTCTTTCTTCAGTCACCGGAATTGATGGCTTCGCCGGAAAACGACATTTACCGGCCATTTCTACAAAACAATGTAACATCATTATCACCACAATTATCTGAAACTCACAACTTTGAATCAAGCAACGAGCTCGAAACTGTGCTTTTGGACACTGAAATAACTCTCTGGAGTAAACTCCGATTAGCGACATGGATAGAAATGAAGCTCCTCTTCTTCCTTGCTGCTCCGGCGGTTATGGTTTACATGATTAATTACATCATGTCTATGTCGACTCAGATATTCTCCGGTCACTTGGGTAATCTTGAGCTTGCTGCTGCTTCACTTGGAAATACAGGGATTCAAGTTTTCGCGTATGGTCTTATGGTATGGTCTTCGTTAATGCAGATAACATGTTTGATATATTGTCTGAGTGACAAAATTGAAGTTATTCTGGAAAAAAATGATGAAAATAGGAAGAAATATAGGCGGATTCATGATTTAAAGTTTATGAGTTCGTATACTCGATTCACAATCACATATTTATATATAGTTTATGAATTTATCAATAAAATACAGCATGTGCGCAAAAGTTACTGAGTTCGAACAAATTTTGGAATAATCATAGTTATATTTTAATGTTAGGTGAAATTGTACTATTTCGTGAAATATGTTTTTTGTTTTCTCGAAAATGAGGTAAGGGGAAGAGATTACGTTAAAATTAAAGTTAAGCTAGTCAATCAACTGAGTTAGTAAGATTTTCAGTAAGATGGGGAGCCAAACTTTCATCAATTATGTGAAAGTTCATATAGTCGAGCTACTTACATGAAACTAAGATTTCCCGTAAGGTCAATTATGTCAAAGTTCATATAGTCGAGCTACTAAGATTTCCTGTAAGGTCAATTATGTCAAAGTTCATATAGTCGAGCTACTAAGATTTCCCATTAGGTCCATTATGTCAAAGTTCATATAGTCGAGCTACTAAGATTTCCCATAAGGTCAATTATGTCAAAGTTCATATAGTCGAGCTACTAAGATTTCCCATAAGGTCAATTATGTCAAAGTTCATATAGTCGAGCTACTAAGATTTCCCGTAAGGTCCATTATGTCAAAGTTCATATAGTCGAGCTACTAAGATTTCCCATAAGGTCAATTATGTCAAAGTTCATATAGTCGAGCTACTAAGATTTCCAGTAAGGTCCATTATGTCAAAGTTCATATAGTCGAGCTACTAAGATTTCCCGCAAGGTGCCCCCCCTAAGGTGGGGGTCAAACTTACATTGATTATGTTAAAGTAAGATTTCCCATAAGGTGGGGTGTCAAAACTGGCATCGATTATGTGAAACTATGATTTCTCGTAATTATGTGAAACTTCATATAGTCAATCGACTGAGTTTTAAGATTTCTAGTAATTTATGTTCGTATGTTTGTAAATGGCAGTTGGGCATGGGAAGTGCAGTGGAAACACTATGTGGTCAAGCATTTGGGGCAAAGAAATACGATATGCTTGGTGTTTATCTTCAAAGATCGACAGTTCTGTTAACTCTAACAGGAATTTTACTCACCATAGTGTACATTTTCTGCAAGCCAATTCTAATATTCGTAGGCCAAACTGAGAGAATTGCAGCAGCAGCGGCATTGTTTGTGTACGGTTTAATCCCTCAGATATTTGCCTACGCCATTAATTTTCCGATTCAGAAATTCCTTCAAGCTCAGAGCATTGTAGCTCCGAGTGCATACATCTCCGCTGCTACGTTAGTGTTGCATTTGGGGTTGAGCTGGGTGGTGATTTTTAAGATTGGGCTCGGGTTGCTTGGGGCGTCATTGGTGTTGAGTTTGTCGTGGTGGATAATTGTTATAGGCCAATTTGTGTACATTGTGAAGAGTGAAAAGTGCAAACAGACATGGAAAGGGTTCAGTTGGATGGCGTTTACCGGCTTGCCGGAGTTCTTCAAGTTATCGGCGGCCTCCGCAGTGATGCTGTGCTTGGAGACTTGGTACTTTCAGATTGTGGTGTTGCTTGCTGGCTTGCTTGAAAATCCTGAAGTGGCTTTGGATGCTCTTTCTATTTGGTAAGAACAAAACTCCCTCCCAATTATTTTTGCGAGAATATATTTTGAAAACACTTTTGAGCGTCAATTAGTGTTCAATTGAATTTTTTATAGTGTTTTAAGTGTATTACATGGTTTTTTTAAAAAAATAAAGAAGACTTTTTTTGCTTGTTTATTAACTTCTGCTATTTGTGCTTATTTTCTTCCAAAATTTTGGCTAAATGCCTTACTTTTTAAAAATAAGCATTTTTTGAAAAAACAAATATACACTTTTATAATTGCAAAAGTTTAACCAAACAAACTATTAGGTTAATAAGAAATAGAATTGTAAGAGAGATACTGTACCAAAACATCTTTTGAATTTTATAATTTTAAATAAATCAGAGTAGAATGATGAAATTAAAGAGTTACAAAGTATATATAAAAAAATCTTTTTAACATAATACTCTCTTCATTTCATATTAATTGAATTGTTATGATATTTTTCATTTTTCAAATTAACTTCATTGTTCAATTTTCGTAACTACTTTTAAAATGTTAACTTTCAATTTCATCTTCATTAGTTAGTTTTAAAATTAGTTATTAATTAATGTTTAGTTATTTTAATCATAAGAAAAAGGTAAAACAAAGTAAATTTCATGGTCTTTTTACTCTTTCTCAGATTCCATTCCCATTAAAACAGTATTCCTTCCCATTAAAATTGGGCAAATTTGCTTGTTTTACTATTTTTTTCTATTTATTTTTAAATATATATATTTAGTAAGATTTTACAATTCAATTGGAGAAACTCAAACTCTTGAATACTTACGTTCATGATCTTTTACTCCAATTGAGTAAATTATAGTTAATAAACAAGATATTAAAATATTTTACGATGCATACATCTCAATGTCCTTTTTATAAATAAATATTCATATATTTACAAAATTTTAAATGACATATAATCTTATGAAGATTTAGTTGTCAGATCTTTTCATATAGTGTAGAGCTGAGCATGAGTCTTTTTATATAAAATTTAAACTGATTTATTTTTTTAATATAAAATATAAATTTATGAGTCAAATTTAACATTAAAAAAATTGAAATTTTAAATTATAATCTGAAATCACAAATCCAAAGGCTGATTTGAGACGATGACTTCATATCGCATGTTCAAACACAAATTAAGAATACATGTTATTTTTATCAAGTTTCACGATATGTATCTTTTTTATTGGGCTTATCCTCTTTTTCGTCTCTTCCTTCTTAACAACGCGGCGTTTTTTACTTCTTTATTTGTCGTAGAAAATGTTTACATAGTTAAATCATTTGAAAAGTATTTATATTTAGTTTTGTTTGATTTGGTAATCCAAACACAAATGACAAAGTAACCTGTCATAACATGTCAAATAATAGTGTAAAGTATCTACCTGCACTACGTTCTATCTGATTGCAAATTGTGAAAATAGACTTCTAGATCCATTTTTTCTTTAACCAAACAATAATGGAGATAACTTTTTAAATGATTGCATGGAAAAAAGCTTTGTACCCTACTGCTTTGAGTTTGAGCCCACACAAAAGTTAGAGACATGCTTTTAATTATTCTGTCTAATCCAATTCATCTAACACATTCAGAGTTGTTTGATACACGGGATAAGATGAAAATAGGTGGGGTGGATTGCGCGATTCAAAACTTCACTAGTATTAAGATTTTCCAAAATTACTATTAAATTTATTTGATAAATATAAATTTAACTTAGATAATGTTGTCATTAAAAATAAAAACACTTGAGTTTTTGAAAAACAACTTCTCTTATTCATGTATAACTTGTCATGTTCTGTGAAGACAGAATTTTTCTAATGATTTAATCCTTTTGGAAAAACAATGGCATAGCAATAGAGATACAATATTAAACACAGACCTAATTTCAGGTCTGACAGTGCAGCTTATTTAATACTTATCTAGATTTGTGTACTCAATTTGTATTACAAGAGTATTAATACTTGTATTTTATTTGATTGCAACAC